CGGAGCATTTATTGGACCACAGGATGCATTAATTAGACTTAGTTGAGAAAAAAGTAAGAGGATGATAGTAGAATGCGGATTAAGAGATGGTTAGGAGAAGAAGAGAAATGGGGACAACACGAGAAGGATATAGAGATAACAGTGTGTGTACATGCCCCAAGAATTCTGGTTCTTTCACGTACAAAGTCATTAGCCAGACAAGAATCCAGTGAGTTTTTCCGCTTCCCATAGATTCGCATGCACTCTTGAGCTATAATTGCACAAGTTGTCATCATTTAAGTGAAGCGATGAATCCATGGATTATGGATCTCGGCTAGGCATCTACCAAGTGAGGCTCTTTGATTATAACTTCATGACTTTCAAAAGTTTCGAAGTTGCCAGTATAGAATAATATAAGTGCCATACCAATTCTTGCACATGAATTGGCTGATAAGTAAATTGTCGGGATGTCATGCATTTGTGCAAATTCTGTACACTTGTTGAGAAGTTTATCTTAGGCAGAGCAGAAAGATATGACTCTGAAGGTGATGTCGTTGGCAATAATGATGAACTTGGATCTGCAAAGGTACTCAGGGGTCCTCGCAGTTAATACCCAATCAACTGTGCCATGAGTGTTAGTTACCAGCTCCTGTTAGACCTCGGTGAGACAACCATTCTCTTCTAATACCAACTCACTATACTCTAAGTACTCCGTAAGTGGTAGGATCCTCTCTGTGAATGAGGAGACCATCTTGGTGGACTTCAACTAGCTCTGATGGAAAGCCTGTCTGATAGCTGGAAAAGATCAAACCCATATTGTGTTCTCATAAGATGCACTTTATGCCTCGAGGACTGCAACCATTCCTTGGCAGGTTGTGAGGTGTTGACGGCATAGAGATGCATTGATCCAGACTTGGCACCAATGCTCTGTAATACCGATTGCTCCATGTTAGTCTTTCGCTCTGTGTACATCTCAACAAGAATGCCACATGCAGACACATTCTGGATTATGACACAAAGGTGGTATGTGAGGCCGCTCTGAGGGTCGGTATAGTTGATATGTATCTCAGTACAAGTGACATGCAGTCTTCAAAGCCATCTTGTGAAACATTCTGTGGACCTACTAAGAGCAGGCTCAATCTCCTCCTAACCGAAGGGGGAAATGGGAGTGAAATTGATGAAGATGTGGTTAAGATCCGAATTATTATTTCCAATAACCCCAAAGGATCAAGGATATCATTAACCAGTTGATCGGTCTCAGAAATAAAGTAATCAGCAGTAGGAATCTCTTCTCGAAGGAGGTCCTGATGAAGGACAGTGTCACGAATGTGGCTTAGCGAGGTAAAGGCTTTCACGTGACACATGGTTATGAGTCACAGATATGTTATTGTTTCACACATATGACTCATTCAAGTCATATGATTTGTTATGTGTGGGATTTGGGATACTTTCACATATGGCTCAAATATGAGTCATGGAACGTGCGCCTAATAAGGATACCTTGTGAGTGTGCCTTGTGGGTATGCCTTGCACATAAGATTTATGTTTCGCACATCACCTCATTATGAGGTCGTGGGTTTCACACATATGACGCAGTCGAGTCGTATGACTTGTTTATTGCGTTTTGATTGGTTTTTGAGTTTTTGCACGTGACCTCGCTATGAAGTTATGGGTATTGAGCATGTGACCATCTTGGTCACATGACTAGTTTGTTATGATTTGGTTTCGCACATGTGACCAGTTTGGGTCAGATAACTATGGGCGGGAAGAACAGAATATAAGAAGGCCGATGCGGCGGACGAGAATAGGTTCTTCACGCTTTGTTCTAAGTACTTTTCCTCTTTCTTTCACCCCGTGTCAGATGTGAAGGCTCAGTGTCGATCCAATCAGAGCCCTTGATTTCTATCTCACGATACGCTACAAGTCTTTAACTTTGAACACCTTTCAGGGGCTTCGTTGTTATACCTCCTCCTATGTTTACTGGAAGTCCTTTCTTCCTTCTGCTTATTCTTTCAGTTGTTCACTATTGTCACCTCCTCACAGTCGCAATGGCTAAGCATGCTTTCGTCCCCTCCGTCATATCCGCTCTACGTTCATTGGTAGTTCTATCTCGTGCCATGAAGAAGAACCTCGCCCTAGAGGCCAAAGTCTCTCACCTTTAGCATCACACTTCCATCCTTTCTCTGCGATTTCATTGTGCTGAGAAAGCGATATCTACCTTGTCGGCCGCCCTGGCCTCTGAACACGATACTGGTCGTGGTTTGGTTATGATTTTGGCGGCTGAAGCTCCTACCGTTATCCCCTCTTCGCCTGTTTCCTCGGTCGCTTCTGTTACTATGGTGATCTCGGTTGGGGGGGGTGGGATAGACCCTGGGAATTCTCAGAGTCAGGCGGAGGAGCTCCCTTGGGAGAATGTTACGCCGGCGGTTATCCCTGCCCCGCCTGCAGCTACTGTTGTGGATGGTGGTATGGGTGGTCCTGTTCCTGATTCGTCAGGATTGGAGGAGGCACTTTCTCCTGGTGTGGGTGGGATGGATCCTGGTGTGTTGACACCAGCTACAGTGGTATCACCCCCTTTGGGGGGGAAGGTGCCTGAGTTTTCTGTGGCTGAGCTCAGGGCTAGTCGGGGAAGCGCCTCCAGTGGCGTCCCTCCTGTGGTGGTGGGTGGTAATGACAGTGGCCCGTCCACTCCTGTTGTTCGACCTGCGCCCGGGGGTGGGAAGTATAAGAGAAACAAGAAGCGCCGGGTCAAGCAAGACCATACGACACCTGTACCACATGTTCCTGACTTGCAAGGGTCATCGCCTTCGCTGTTTCGCCACCTGCGGAGCGGGCTGGGGAGTTAGAAGAGGAGTTGAATACCTGAGCATGTTCGGTCAAGTGCCGGCAGCTTGGAGACTATCTCGTCCTGGCTGCTTCTGTCGAGGTTTTTGGACTGCGCTACCGATGTGGTACCACCCTGATTCTCTACGATGGTTCGTACCCCCTCAGCTATGGAGCTCTCACCCTGTAAGTTGGCTTTCCTTTTGGGTTTACATGCTTGGGCTTTTCGGGTGTTTCTTTTGTTTGGGATGGGGGGAGCGTGCCTGACGGTTGGCGGGGATGTCCCGAGATCATTGAGTGGGGGCATTCGGGAGGATCTCTACTTAGGAGAGGGTTATTGCGGGGTCAGATTTAGGTGGTGGTAGTGGAACTTTTGTATTTTGTACGGATAACTTGGCTGGCGGGTAGGCTGGGCTCAGGAGGATTTTCTTTACCGGTAATGGTTTTGTACTAAGTGTTCGTATTTGGACATGGCGTGGGCATGTTTGAGGTATGGGGCTGGAAGTTTAGTTGGTTCGTAGTTAGTGGTATCTGGGATGCGACAACCTGGGTGCTCGGCCCTGGGGCTCGTTGTATGCCAGTGTTGGCGGTACGAGTTTAAATAAAATTACATTGACTTCTAAGTAGTTTTCCTCCTTCTTTAACCCTGTGTCAGACGTGAAGGCTCAGTGTCGATCCAATCAGAGCCCTTGATTTCTATCTCACGATACGCTTCAAGTCTTTAACTTTGAACACCTTTCAGGGGCTTCGTTGTTATACCTCCTATATTTGCTGGAAGTCCTTTCTTTCTTCTGTTTATTCTTTCAGTTGTTCACTATGGTCGCCTCCTCCCGGTCGCAATGGCTAAGCTTGCTTTTGTCCCCTCCGCCATGTCCACTCTACGTTCATCGGTAGTTCTGTCTCGTGCCATCGAGAAGAACCTCGCCCTAGAGGCCGAAGTCTCTCGCCTTTGGCATCACACCTCCATCGTTTCTTGGCGATTTCATCATGCTGAGAAAGCGATATCTACCTTGTCGGCTGCCCTGGCCTCTGAACCTGATACGGTTCACGGTTTGATCATGATTCTGGTGGCTGAAGCTCCTACAGTTATCTCCACTTCGCCTGTCCCCTTGGTCACTTTGGTTACTATAGTGGTCTCGGTTGGGGGAGGTGGGCTAGACCCAGAGAATTCTCAGGGTCCAGTGGAGGAGCTCCCTTGTGGGAATATTGAGCCGCTGGTTATCCCGGCCCCTCCTACAGCTTTAGTTGTAAATGGTGGTGTGGATGGACAGGTTCCTGATTTGTCAGGTCCGCTTGAGGTGCTCGCTCCTCGTGTGGGTAAGGTGAATCCTGGTGTGGTGGTACCAGTTGCGGTGATATAACCCCCTTCAGTGAGGAAGGTATCTGAGTCCTCTGTGACTGAGCCCGTGGCTGGTCGGGGTAATGCCTTTAGTGTCGTCCTCTCTGTCATGGTGGGTGGTGATCAGGGTGGCCCGTCCACTCCTGTTACTAGACCTGCACCCGGAGGTGGGAAGAGGAAGAGAAACAAGAAGCGCCGGGTAACCAAGACCAGACATCACCTGTGCCACTTGTCCCTGACTCGGAAGGGTCATTGCCTTCGCCGTTACACTACCGCAAACCGGCTACTACTGAGTCCACCCCAGTTGCGCCGCCTGCGGAGTGACCTGAGGAGTTGGAGGAGGAGTTGAATACCTGAACATGTTCAGTCAAGTGCCGACGGCTTGGAGACTATATCGTCCTGGCTGCTTCCATCGAGGTTTTTGGGCTGTGCTGCCCGTGTGGTACCTCCCTCATTCTCTATGACGGTTCGTACCTCCTTGGCTAGAGAGCCCTTGCCCTGTAAGTTGGCTTTCCCTTGGGTCTACACGCTTAGGTATTGGGTGTTCCTTTTGGATGGAACTGGGGATGGGTGTCAGAGCAGGCAGCAGGGTGTCCCGGAATCATTGAGTGGGGGCACTTCGGCGGGTTTCTACTGTGGAGGAGGATATCACAGAGTTATATTTAGGTGACAGTAGCTGAGTTTTGTATTTTGTACGAGTAACTTGGCTGGCGGGTAGGCTGGGCTGAGGAGGATTTTTCTTTACCTTGGATGACTTTGTATTTAGTGTTCGTGTTGGGGCATGGCGTGGGCATGTTTGAGGTACGGGGTTGGAGGTTTAGTTAGTCTGTAGTTAGTGGTATCCAGGATGTGACACCCTGGGGGCCCAGCCCTGGGGCTCGTCGTATTCCCGTATTGGTGGTACGAGTTTAAATAAAATTAGATTGAATTCTAAGTACTTTTCCTACTTCTTACTTTAATAAATATAAAACACCATGACGATCTTTACCTTTATTGCAACGTTATCGTTACGCCAAGGAAAGCCCTTCACGAAAAAGAGTTAGAGAAAGCTTATGATATGCATTCCCGGTAGAAGACAGAGGTCTTGTACAATTGGTAATGTAGGCAGAGGCCTAGTCCTATGGTAAGACTATGGAAAGAAACAGAAGATGAGAATTATCGTTCCCCGTCGCCAAGATCTAACTATTCAAGAAGGGATCGTTACATTACCATCCATCACCTAGTGCGATGCCAAAGGATATAAAACGCCATCCTTCAACCCAGACAGAGAAGGAGATATCTATATCGACGATCAAAACCTTAACCTGCGTGGATTCAGCGATGCCCTAGATCATGTCTCAGCAAAGCCCTTGAGGGCAGCAAGCGCAGTAACCCTAGAAAAAGGATCACCAGTTGATAGCTCTCCTGCAGGAACTCCACAACCCGAGAGAAGGTCACGATTAGCAGTACTTGGGGCACCGGCCCCGGCCGCTCCCACACCAGGCACAAGCATACTTGGAATGACTGACAATCAGTTTCAGATATTTCTAATAGCAACACAAAACACAAGACAAGGAAACATCCAATGACTGAAAGTAAAAGAACCCGACATATACGAAGGAGCCGAAGACAAGCAAGAAATATTCCTGGCACAATGCGAAGGGTATTTTGCTGTTAAGAGATATGGAGAACACCACGATGACATCAAAATTCCACATGTGCAATTCCTATTAAGAGGACTCACGGGGTAATATATGATGCCCTTCTAACATGGAGGGAAGCAGAGGGAATGGGTCATGTACGAGGAGTTCAAGGCGACACTCTTCAGACAATTTGGGGATTCGAATACCAAAGAAACAGTAAGACGAAAGCTGGAAAAACTCCAACAAGAAAAACAAACTTTTGCGGCATACTGGAACGAATGCCGACTATTGGAATAAGAGGCAGAGTTTGATGATGCTACCCTTTACATCATCTTCCTGAGAAACTGAACTGAAAGACTCTGAGAATCAAGCGGAATCTCTGACTTGCATTACACCACAGCAGAATAATTTGCAAGATGGGCCATCGATCAGGAAAGCAAGCTAAATATGTTTCGAAACAACTCAGAAAACACAATAGCACACAGGTTGGCCCAATCATCCAGGAAC